CGTACGGGCGTGGTACTCACAATGGCCCCATTCTGGTATGGACCTCTGTCTGAGAGTGTCGCCGTACTTCATACCAACAGATTGATAAGTGGGGTGGTGGAAATGGGCCCAATTGGTTGCGTCGCACGGGTTTGTTATGAATTATGAAAGCGATAAACTGGCACCGTCAGATAAGCCCTCGAGGGTTCATGATTGCACGGTCGTGCAATATACGTGCGAGCGTTGCACGTTCACACAGTCAGACAGCAATTGAGCCGTTGGACCGTTGAACCGCCGAGACAGGGCGCCAGCCGGACTACGTACCGTTGGTTTCAACTGGGTGAATCAAGATAACACCTCCGCCGTCGTCATGCCAAGATATCCGGCTTATGACGCGCTGCTAGCCGAGTATGTGAATTTTAAATGTGAGACGAGTGCGGAAACCTAGAGAGAAAGTGCCAGAGCAACATGGCGCTGTGAAGGGTGTATGTACTTATCGATCGAGCGCAGGTGTTCCTCGATAGCTTCGATCCACGCTATGATGGAACCTTGGAACCCTTCTCCGGTGCTACGCAGGCATCCTTGTACGTGCGCAAGGGCCCACATCCCATGCAGCCGGGATATCATCTCCACTCAACACCCAATGTTATCGTATGACGGGGAGGGAACTGCTGAACGTGTTCCCTGGTGTTCAACCTCGGTTGGTGAGGTAAGCTTATCATTCTTCAAGGGTCAGCCCAGAGTGTCTACAGTACAGCCTCAACGTGTGACCAACCACTCCTGATAACCTAGCATCTTCAAGGTCGATGTCTCCGTTAGAGAGCTTGTTGCTTCCCGCACGCCATAATCGATTCGAATTGAGCAAACGACATTAGCCGTCTGCCGTGTTGCAGAGAAGCATCACGATCCACAGTTCAGGGCGGCAATCGGCATGTACCGCGCAATGCCGGCACGTTGAACATCGAGACGAAGCCTCAGCTGTGGCTGCCATCACAGTCAATCTAGATCGTCAAGCAGCAGGAGGTATTGCCAGGAAAGACGACAGAATGTCACTACACCAATGCGATTGGCCAATGCAAGTATCTGGAGAAAATTGGAGAAGAAAAGCTTGCATCTAGACAAGGATAGACGTGCAGCTTAACGAACCTCCACTTGCCTGTTGCGAGACGAACCAGGGATCTTCTCTACACCACACAAGACATGTCTACATAATTGGAGCCGCGGAAGAAATTTGTCGCATGATTATTCCTTGCACACAACCTTCTCTTCAGTACGATAACAACATGTCCCCGCATCTATCTGGTCAATGAGAGACAACAGTGATGAATACTCATCAACCGTCCCCACACGATAGTACTTGCGGCCGCCGGCCACCCGTCGCAGGGACCTGGACCCATTGCCGAAGTGGAGCTTCATCATGCCCATCCCGTGGAGCCGCGGTAGTGCTGGCTGAATTGAGCGCCTCCGAGGAGCTACACGACTCTCGTCGTGCTAGACGATGGAGACGAAGTGAGTCAGACCAAACATTGTGAACTTGATATACGAGAACGAAGGATGAAGGCAGCCGTTAGTTTCGCCACTAAGTCTACCTTTTTTCAAATCACAAGTACTGAAGGAAACGAGTGGCAATCCCACATACCCAAGTACACGAATTTGACCATCGAGAGGAGGTTTCTGCAAAGAAATCCGCCAAACCAATACATATTCTCTCCAAGGATCGATATGCATACCCGAGTTCCACGGAGCTACGGCACTTGTCCGCCACATTGGCGATGCTTGTATCAACATCTGCATGCACGTCTGCGCGTCTCCATTTCATGCTGTTAGTCCTGCGTCTTGAAAGGTCGCGTGCTCACCTGCCTATACCGGCTCCGCTATGACGGACAGGGGTGCTGCATATGTAGGATCGCTAGAACGCCGTATATGACATCGCGCTTGCATGATCCAGACCCAGACGTTTGGAACGTTTCTGCCACTTGCGACGCGTGTGTTGCCCACGTGGGTGATCGGTGTGGTTCTCATGGCTTCAACGTGGTATGTCGGTTCGAGTAATTGTGAGGATTCGAGGTGTAATACTGCCGGTGGTAGGGGTCGAAATCGACTCAGAATTGAGGTTTGTGGGGCGCTTCGCTTGCTTACTTGCTTCTTGTAGCTTCATGTGAAGGACGAGTTGCTTAGATATCGGTTACATGTACGATTGGCCTTGATGGTGGATCACAGGTAGATAACTTGGCGATCGCTGAAACTGCCAATGATGATATAATAGTCTATGCGTCAACAGACATGAACGCGATGGTTCATTGCGTTGGAGAATATCCTTGGTGCAACGGTCCCTACGTACTTGTCAGAACACGTGAGCTGTCTCCAAACAGTACGCAATGTACGCACAATATCATTCCAGCGCACTTCGTGGAACGACATGCACACTGAAGAATCTCAGCACTTCATCATCGCCCAAAGCTTCACACCTTCACCCCCCTCTTGGCCCCTCCCTTCACCATCAACCTTCCCCTTTCCCACAATAATCTCCTCCAGCATCTGGAACCCCAAATGTGTATACACATCCCTACTCCTCGGAGACGTAGATTCCAAAACCACAGGCCACCCCTTCTCCCTCGCCATATCAAGAACAGGGCGAATGAGGTCACTAACTTTAGCCGGGTTGGAAGTAGAAGGGTGAGTGCGGTCGTTTGCTAAAAGGACCAGATGTAGCATGTGAGTTGTCTGGGGAGGGATAAAGCGTTTCCGCACGTGATGAGCGAGGGAGTTTAGTTCTGTTACGGCGGGTGGGTTGTGTGGTTCTTCGGTGTAGTTTTCTGTTACTTCTTCTAGTGTCCTGCATAACACATCGTTAGTATGTTCCAACCTCAAACCCCTGCCAATAGCATTCTACTCAAATGCTACATTTCTTGAAGGATAAATATCTCATGATGATAGGTCATGTACTTACCAAACACTAGCCACCCCACTCCCAGGAACCGTCATACACCTGGCTCCCGCCTTGATAAAATCCGGCACGATGAACGCAAAAACCTCCTTGTTCATCTCCTCTCCGATATCCGTCTTTCCAGAACCCTGCATTTCATCCAGGAGGATATAGCGTTGAAAAGCATCGGGTTCGAATTGCTTGGCGAGAATTTCGATCGTGTGGTCTAGCGTGTCTTCTATGAGACCAGCGGGGACGGGGATTTGCGACATGATGCTGTTACTGAGGAATTATCAGGAGTTGAAAGTAGGCTTCAGGAAAAGATTGTGGGTGTTGATGCAAATGGAGGTACATGGACTTTTGGCAGTATACTAGTAGTTGATGGGGTCGGTCCGAATTTTCAATGCTCCGGTCCGAAGTTCTCTACATTATGAGCCGGCTGGGCAACGTGTATTACGGTAGGTATTAGACGTCGCTAGCTTCATCCGACCGGTTGCTCGCTCGTACGAGGCTTCCGCGGGCCCCGCAGCGGTACCTGTTCACCTGCCATACGCTGTAACATACTTGAACGACTGGATTCTGTTGTGGGGCAGGACCTGGGGTAGGCCGTGCATGACATGTATACATCACGCGTAGTACGTCTCACGTTGTGTCGAAGAAGAGGTGTTTGGTCTCAAATCAATGAAGCGCTCCGACTTGGAATGTCGTCTTCTGCCTTGATTGAACGCCATACTATACACGTAGATTAAACGCCCGCATATGTTGACACTGAACAAACTTGGTACCGCCCGCATTTCAAGACGTTTAACCTGGAGGGAGCAGACTGTTGTCGACAACATCCTGCGCCTCCATTTCCTCCACGTCGGCACTGTTGTGTAGCGGGGAGCGCGGTAGAGCCATGAGGCCTGTGTAGTGTTAGCAAATCGGCCATGCCTGAACAACCCACGGTGCTTACCAGTTCTTGCGGACTCCAGGATACCGAATGGAGCAATTAGCTTCATGAAGGAGTCAATCCTGGTAGGCTTCGCGGAAACCTCTACTATGCAGTTGTTGGTGCTGATGTCGAGCACCTTTCCACCGAATTGATGAGTCATGAAGGTAATCGCGCGAAGATGTTCGTGCTTGTGTCGGAGCGCCTGGCTGACGGGTAGGTTTGTCGGGTGGTAGTCTTTCCGCAACGACTCGCGAGCAGCCTCCTGTGCCATTGCGTTGCGCTCTTCGTCGGTCATGTCTGGTTCGTATTGCTCCTCCATCTCCGGCGTTTGGGCCATCTCTCGGTGGTGCGCAAGCAGCTCCTCAAAGTACTCCGGGCCGAGAATCGAGACCTTGGCGAGGAGCAGTTCGCGCTGGACGAGGGGCGACTGGGTGTAGTCAAGCACAGCCCATACTGGGACCAGGTCCTCGAGCTGGCGGCGGGCTTGTTCTATGACACCATCCTGCCCTTGCAGCACAATTGTCATGCGGGAGAGGTCGTCTACCTCGGTGTTGCAGACGACTAGACTGTCGATGTTGAAGCCGCGGGCAGCCAGGATACCGGATACGCGGGACAGCACACCGGGCTCGTTCTGTACCAAACAGTTGAGGATGTGGCTCTTGGGCGGAGCTTGGGATGGGAGCGGTGTTTCGTAGAGGATGTTGCTGACGGCAGCGGGCGCCGACCACGCCGGAGGACGGTCTTCGGTGGGGAGGGGCGCAATGCGACGGTGAAGGGCCTTGTAAGCCAGCGCCTGAGTCGACGAGGAGCTGGATGCTCTTTGCTGCTGGCGGAGGGAGGCGGCGCATTGCCTGTTGAGCAGACTGCGCAGCGGCAGAATTGCTCTCCGGGAAGCCATGGCGGGCAGTGGTCGCGGTGAAGGCGAGTAGGCGGGGAGTGACTGCGGATGTGGATGGGCTTCACGTCAAACTGCCCCAGAAAGTGAAATAGAATCCCCGGCCGATTGTCGGAGGAGCCACCAGGCCACGAACAGGCAGGTTCAGCCGCGGCACGCTAATAAGCGAGTCGCTCCTGCCAGAGCCTAAGATTCATCGACAAACACCAACCAACCCGAGCCTCACCCGCAACACCACGACAACTATCGCTACGGCCACCCGCATCATGTCTGAGGAACGCCGCCCCCGATCGCGCTTTGACAGCGACGATGCCGAGCGCCCTGTCCGCTCGCGCTTCGACTCAGATCGTCGCTCCAGGTCGCCGTCGCGGAGGGAATCCGAGTCGCATCGCGCCCGTAGCCCTGTCGCCCGTGAAGGCACAGACAGCCCTGCATCGTCCAACTTCAAGAACGAGGCGGCAGCAAAGGCGGCGGCTGCGGCTGCGAGGATCAACGCGCAGATTCAGGCGAAGAAGGGCATCCAGCATGTCGACGTGCCTCCGATTCGCTCTGTAAGTTCATCCATATCTTTTCGAGCATGACAAGACTAACAGCCCAGGCCGCTACTCCTCCAGTCGCCAAGTCGCCCGCCTCAAACTCCGCCGCGGCCATAAACAACGAGACGTACCAGCAGGATGGTGACTACATCAAAGACATTGAGATCAATGATCTCCGTAATCGCTATACACTGACTAAAGGAGCTACACAAAAGAGGGTAAATAACTGTTTTTGCTGTCCACTGATCATGTAGGATCATGCCTTCTCCATGCTCTGCTGCGCTGCACCTGGTGCGTGTGCTGCGGGGCTGGAGTTGGTCTCTGTTTGCGCATCTCTCTATGAGAGTCAGAGCTTACTTGATCTAGCACCCCACCCCATTTATCAAATGCTAACCTCCATGTGCCATCTAGATCAAAGACGAGACTGGCGCCGGTACGCATCCCCGATTACAACTATTAACCTTTAGAATACCTGCTTATACATGCAAGATGTCACTACTCGCGGAGAATACTACCCAGACAAGAACATGGCAACTGCTACTGTAGGTGAACACGCAGAGTCTCGTCGACAGAGCTAACGGGAACAGAACCCGCCGCTGTACCTCCGCATCACTAGCACCTCCAAAGAAGGCCTGGACAAGGCTGTCGAGATGATCGAAGAGATGATGAAGGAGGACCTTCCTAACCTTGTAGACGAACGTCGTTTCCGCCGTAGAGAGCCAGAGAACTTCGAGCGCGACGAATTTGGCAGAGTATGTCGCCCTCTCTGTCATCCAACATGTTGCTAACTCTTCCCAGCGCAAGTGGCCCGAAGAGAAGATTTCCGTAGGTCTCGAGCCTATCAGCGGCTTTAACTTGCGCGCACAGGTTGTCGGTCGCGGTGGCGACAACGTCAAGTTCATTCAACAGGAGACAGGCTGCAAAGTCCAGATCAAAGGCCGCGGTTCCGGCTTCATGGAGCCAAACAGCGGACAAGAGAGCGACGAGCCCATGTACCTCCACATCGCGTTCGTATACCCCGCCATTCCTACCCTCCAATTACTGACAGATCGTAGTGGACCCCGTCCCGAAGGTGTAGCCCAAGCCAAGCAACTCTGCGACGAGCTCCTCGACAAGGTAAAGTCGGATTACCACGCTTACAAGGAACGCCCTCCACCGAACCGTTACGGCGACCGAGATGGCTATGGCGGTGGACGACCGGGATACGGCGATCGTGGCGACCGTGGAGATCGCGGTGACCGTGATCGCAGCCAGAGCTACGGATACGGTGGAGGAAACGGAGGAGGCGGCGGCTACGGTGGCTACGGCGCTCAGGGTCAGAACGGTTACGGCGGCCAGGACACAATCATGTCTCCTGCTGCTGCAACGCCGACTGCTGATGCTAACAACCAAGCCTACGATGCGAATGCGGCACAAGCATGGATTGCCTACTACCAGCAGAACCCAGAGGCTGATCCTTATGCGGCCTACGGTGGGTATGCAGCGTATCTCGCACTCCAGCAACAGCAGTACGCGGCGTACTATGCTCAGAACGGTTATGGCCAGACGCAGTCGCCTGCTCCCGGCGCTGGCGCGGCTGCACCACCACCGCCGCCGCCTTCAGAGCCATCCGGCTACGCTGCTCCACCGCCGCCTCCACCGGCTGCATCGCCTTCCAACTATGGCGCCGTCCCTCCACCTCCCGGTTTGTAAGTCCGAAGCAACGACTATGATTTCGCGCTTACGACAGCCATTCAACTTGACTTGATTGATCGAAACTAGTCCGATTTGCCTTTGCATATTGACTGACGGCGGGTGTGGTGGATTGGTTTGAGGGTTTCTCTACGCTTCGGCACGTTTAGTTACAGGTACGGAGCATCGTCTCAGTCACGGTAATAGTCTGCCAATCTGGAGTTGTCATTTTAGTTAGGATACCAGTGCCATTGCTATAGCTTAAATTTAAGAATGGTATTGCCCATCGCGTCATCTCTCAGATTACTTTGACGCGTGCTGTGATTGGGTCAGAGAGTTTCCTTCTCCGCGGTACATATGACTCGCGTGCATCTCCGCAGTCGGCTCGGTATATTCTGAAGGCACCATTTTTGACGTGCTCGCACCGCGTCGCCGCCACGGACAACCTACGAAAAGATGCGGTCGCAAATACTTCGTGCTGGTCAAGCAGCCAACTGCAGGGTGAGTCTACACATACCATTGGCCGCCCAACATCTCTCCAAACCCCATGCGACTTCCGCAATAGTCATCGTCATCGCGCTTCTCTACTACACCTCTAAGTGGCACAAAGACGCTGACACCCCTTCTACAGCCTCATCTCTCCTCCCTCCGCCAACCGCTCAGATGCCTAGCCACATCGCACTCGCCGCCCTCCGCGCGCAACGTCGACCTCGGCTCGCGCACCCCACCGTACGCCAAACTCCTCTCGCGGCTCGAACAAGTCCGGCGCGTACTGGGCTCGTCTCGCCAATTGACTTTGGCAGAGAAGATCCTCTATTCGCATCTTGAGAGTCCTGAGGAGTCTTTGTTGAGCAACACCAATGGAGGAAGGGATATTCGGGGCCAGGCGAATCTCAAGTTGAAGCCGGATCGCGTGGCGATGCAGGATGCGAGTGCGCAGATGGCGCTGTTGCAGTTTATGAGCTGTGGGTTGCCGAGTACGGCTGTGCCTGCTAGTATTCACTGTGAGTGACAGTCATGGATGAACTGCGATCAAGGCATGTGCTGACTACAACCTTAAGGCGACCACATGATAGTAGTCAGTAGTACCCTGGAGGCCGTCCTGGTCCCACTGTGAGGATTTCGCTGATTTGAACGTCTAGGGAGAAAAAGGCGCCGACACCGACCTTCCACAATCGATAGCGGGTAACAAGGAGGTTTTCGATTTCCTCGAGTCGGCGGCGAAGAAGTACGGAATCGAGTTCTGGCCACCGGGTGCTGGCATCATCCATCAGTCTGTCCTGGAAAACTACAGTGCTCCTGGGCTCATGATCTTGGGCACCGACAGTCACTCACCGAATGCTGGAGGTCTGGGATCGATTACAATTGGTGTTGGTGGTGCCGATGCGGTCGACGCTCTTGTGGATGCGCCATGGGAGTTGAAGGCACCCAAGATCTTGGGTGTGAAGCTTACCGGAGAACTCAGCGGATGGGCATCGCCAAAGGATGTGATCCTGAAATTGGCTGGCGAGCTGACCGTCCGGGTATGTCATTGTGAACATGGCGAAGTACTCCTGGCTAACGCATGTGCAGGGTGGCACTGGCTTCATCATTGAGTACTTTGGCCCTGGTGTGCAATCTCTAAGCTGCACAGGCATGGCGACTATCTGGTGAGACCCTTACATAGTTCAACTCGTGGACAAGTACTAATACGATATAGCAACATGGGCGCTGAAGTCGGCGCAACTACCTCGCTCTTCCCCTTCTCTCCTGCGCATATCCCCTACCTCCAAGCCACACATCGCGGACCGATCGCTGAAGCCGCTGCCAAGATCGCCGGTTCACCAATGCAGCAGAACCTGCTACGACCTGACCCGGATGCCGCCTATGATAAAGTCATCGAGATCAACCTTTCGGAACTCGAGCCTCACATCAACGGACCATTCACCCCTGACCTGTCAACACCTCTATCCAAGTTCAAGTCTGTAGTTGAAGAGAAGGGATGGCCACAAACATTCGGTGCGGGCCTAATTGGTAGCTGCACAAACAGCTCATACCAGGACATGACTCGGTCAGAAGAGATTGTGAAGCAGGCACTAGCAGCGGGTCTCAAGCCCAAGGCGGACTTCTTCATTACCCCAGGAAGTGAACAGATCCGAGCAACGTTAGAACGGGATGAAACCCTTCAAACGTTTACTGCTGCTGGTGGCACTGTACTGGCAAACGCTTGCGGGTGAGTTTTCAAATTATCCTGATTGATTCCAAGTACTGACAACCTCGACGTCCCTGCATTGGGCAATGGAAGCGTACCGACGACGTAAAGAAGGGTGAATCCAACGCTATCCTCACGTCCTACAACCGCAACTTCCCCGGCCGCAACGATGGTAACCGAGCTACCATGAACTTCCTCGCTTCTCCCGAACTCATCACCGCCATGTCATACTCTGGCTCTACGACCTTCAACCCAATGACCGACAGCATCCCGACACCCGACGGCAAGCCTTTCAAGTTCGCGCCGCCAAAGGGCTCTGACCTCCCTACCGCTGGTTTCGCAGACGGTAACCCAGACTTCATGCCTACGCCAGGTGTCCCCGACGCCAGCGTGGATGTCATTGTCTCGCCTACATCCACCCGTCTGGCACTCCTTGATCCTTTCCCAGCATTCCCTGGCTCGGAATTTACAGGCCTGCGAGTACTCTACAAGGTCAAGGGACAATGCACAACAGACACCATCTCGGCTGCCGGTCCATGGCTCAAGTACAAGGGCCATCTCCCCAACATCTCTGAGAACACACTCATCGGTGCAGTCAACGCACAGACCGATGAAGTCAACGTTGCCTACGACTTCGACGGTAAGACGTCCGGTATCCCAGAACTAGCAAAGAGGTGGCGCGACCAGGGCATCGAGTGGCTAGTTGTAGCAGAGCACAACTACGGCGAGGGTTCTGCCCGTGAACACGCCGCCCTACAACCCCGATACCTCGGTGGCCGCATCATCCTAGCCAAGTCATTCGCCCGCATTCACGAGACCAACCTCAAGAAGCAAGGTATCGTCCCTCTCACCTTCGCCAACGAAGCCGACTACGACGCCTTCGAAGCTTGCGACCAGGTTGCTACACGGGGACTGTTGGACGTGCTAAAGAGCGGCGGCAAGGGTGAAGTCGAACTTGTCCTCAAGAAGAAGGACGGTAGCGAGAAGGTCGTCAAGACCAAACACACACTCTCGCACGATCAATGTGGATTTGTGATGGCTGGCAGTGCGCTCAACCTTCTAGCTGCGAAAGGCAGGGAGATGAAGGAGGAGGTTACCCGGAGTGCGGAGCTGAGTGATTGAGTCAATTTTGTATAAGTAGGCAAAAGTGAGCATCTACGGCGCTATTGGTGTCACGGCGCATAAAGTATCCTAGCAATAGACTATTTCCAGTCAAACGAATACGCAATGAATTACCTATAACCAAACCGATGTAAAGAGTGACAGCGTGATTTTGATGTTCGGCCCTCCCCCACCAAAGCCCCAAAAAAATGCTGCCTGGCAAACATCATCCGCACAACGTCATCTCAACATGCACAACACAGATGAGTGAATATATAGCAGCAAAAGGGAAGCAAAAAGCATCTCGGGCGGGGCTCGAACCCGCAGCCTTTGGATTAACCATGGATACAGTTAGTAGAAGTCCAACGCGCTACCATTGCGCCACCGAGACCGTCAAGCGGAAATAGAGACTTCTGGCAATTTTCAGAAACCATACGTTAATATACCCTAAATTTTTTGTGGACGTGATGGTCGGGGAGGATGTTTGCTACATGAGGGAATGACTGATTGAGGTTTGCATGTGAAAACTTGAAGGGTGCCACGTCACGGGCGCGAAGTGGGGGTGTGCAGACATGGTTCGCTCCTTTGTTTGACACGGGGTGTGGTGGGCTGAGCAACACCAGACTGGGGTGAACAAGGAGGACACCGATGTTATTGTTTGGATGAGTTATGGCGAGATTTTGTGCCTAAATCTCAAAGGGTACTGCTCCATATGCGGTCGTACGAAGCTGTGCTACCTCAACGAGGCGTGCCCATGCTAACGACTCATCAGCAGCCAAGGTCGCGCGCGCGTTAGATATACTGTTGTATTCACCCCATTCATCATACGTCCACGGCTAGAGCTACGAGCGGGAAAGTCCACATCAAATCCCCTCGATCTTCTCAATCATCTCCAACATAACCTCATCCGTCAGTTCAGCCACTATTCCATCACCGCTCTTATTCCGCTCACACACTTGCCGCAGCTGCAGACGATTCGACTCCCAACTAACCCACGCAGCAGCCTGGAGGAAGCAATCTGTGACGTCGTCCAGCTTCTTGAGCGCAGAGCCTGCGACTGCTGCAGCTGGAAGCACGTCGTCTGTTTCCTCCTTGGCTTTCTTACGCCGTTTGGATGTTGACTGCGATAGGAGCGCTTGACGGGTACTCTCTGCATCTGGCGCGAAATTGAAGGTTATGCCCGGTACCGTGTCTTGTGTTACCGACGCCGTGGACGCGGGTGTTGCGGTGAGCCAAGAGCGGAGGAGAGCGATTTTGACCTTCTTTTCTGCTTTGGATCGACTGAGCGTCTTTTTCGGAGTGGCCACTTCGGCTTCGTCGCCCTCGTTTAGTTTGACGACTTCTTCGTCGCCTTCTGCGAGGCGTCCGGCAGCTCGGGTGAGCCAATATTGACCCACGCGTTTGGGATCTGCACTGAAGACTACGTAGAGCTTTGCTGTAGTCGATGCTGACGCTCCCTTTTCCAGTCGTTGTGCGTATATGGTTTGAAGTACAGCCCATAGCATGCCTTCTAGAGTGTTGACCCGCAAAGTCCACTGTTGCACCGCGCTTCCACCGCCAGATCTCCACCTTTGCTTTTCGATCAAGATGATGTCTGGCGAGCCGGCTAGAATCGTGTTCTTGATCAAGCCATACGCTGTCTTGGACAAAGCATCCGCAGAATACATGTCCGATGCTTCGTCAGCACCCTCAGTACGTTGCTTTGTGGTCTTGCCCTTTCGTGGAGATTTCTTTTCGCTCTGTATCTCGTCCCCTGGGGCTTCCGTAAGGTTAATCTTCTCCCATCTCAAAACCTTCATGTCCGCATCTAGGCTATCTTTCAATGGGTAAGATACCTCCGCCTCGCAAAACGCCAGGTTCTTGATTCCCATGTCGATGCTCATAATGCGGAGCTTCTTGTTTGCAGCTCCAGATTTTGGCCATGTCGGTTGACTCTTGGAAAGATGAGATATTCCGATATCACGTCGGAACCGTTCCTGTAGTACTGCTTTTGTTCCTGAGGATGGTGCGCCGATGTGTACAAGTAGAGTTTGCAACGCCTTGGCTGTCACGGCGCGAGGTTTGGGTGCCATTGAAGCTATCGGCGCTGTTTTGTCGGGTTTATAGTAGTCTAAGATGCAGATTGATCGACGAAAAGAAGTGCTATTGACCTAGCCCGAGCGGAGAGAAGCGCCGGAGGCATTGTGAATCGCGGCACGTTGAAGGGACCATGTAAGAAGAGCAGTGGCAACTCAATGGATTGTAGTCATCTTATCAAACCTCAGCTTTGGTGTGCGAAGACGTGGTGGCGGATAAAGTTTTTGGGGTTGAGAGTTGACGAAAAGTCAAGGTAGACACGTCCCGACTTAGCGTGGAGCACGCACGTGATGCGGTCATTGACATCACAACCCTCGAGTTCAAATAGATGATTCATGTCAAAAGATGAAATCTCAGACGTACTTAAGTAATGTATCATTATCATGTTCTTTGCACGCATGCTATAGACGCTGCGTTAATCTCCATCCCAAGGCCTCTCGACGTCTCTTCACGTCCATACCAAACTTGGAAGTCACCATATACTTCTCTCCCTCGACTACCCTTCACAAATAAGATCGAAATCAGGAAAATCGGGATCAGGGCCAATGTTCGTACTCGCAACCGCACTATTGAAGTCCTTGACCTGTGCGTTCTTCTGCGCATCGTTGCACTTATCTATCAAGTCTGTTAGCGATCCATCCCAAATTGTAGAAAGTAAGGGAAGAAGGATGACTTACTCTTCTGCTCATCACAGTCATTAACACTCAAACCCCCATCCTGCCTCTTCTTCCCCTTCTTCCCCCTACCTCCACCTCCTCCATTACTATTCGCAGTGTTGCTGCACCCTTGAAACTGATTATCGCAACTCCTCTGCGCCGCAGAATCGAAACTGGTGAATGTGTCCCCATCGACCTGGAACGGTCGCTCTTTGTCGCCTGAGTTTGTAATGGGTGATGCACGTGTTCCGCCGAGGTTGCCGTCAAAGGTCTGCAGATCGGATACTTGCCGTAGGAAGAGTGTGTGGCGAGGCACTAGTGACATCTCCCAATCCGAGGAGACTAGGGCGGGTTGTGGAGAGGCATGTGATAGGGCGGGGAGGGCAAGATGGATTAGAGCTAGGAGGGCTGTGGGAAGGAACATGGCTATTGAGTGGCTGGTAGTTTTTGGTAGTTGTTGGCACGTGTGAGTGAGGTAGACAGAGACGTTTGCCGGTGCTGAGGGATGCCGGGCGTGAATCGATACCGGTATGAAATGACTTTGCCGCGCGTGAAAGGTGCCGATATAGAAAGATGTGTCAGGCGTGAAAAGTGCCGGTATGTAAAGATTTGCCGCGCGTGAAAGTTACTGTCGTGCGTGAAAGCTATTGCCGTGCGTGAAAGCTCCTGCCGTGCGTGGAAGACGATGCCGGGCGTGAATCTTGCCCGTGCTGAAAGATGCCGGTATAGTAAGATTTTGCCGTGCGTGAAAGATGCCGGTGTAGTAAGATCTGACGGGCGTGAATCGTTGCCGGTGCTGAATATATGCCGTGCGTGAAAGACGAAAAGTGCCGTGCGTGAATCAACCTCGTGCGTAAAACCTCAACACCTCAATCGCCAATATCCTCCGAACGTATGTAGGCACAGCCTTTGAAAATAAACGATTCAATCGTACCAAACGAATGTAAATATCGCAATCTCTCCAGAGAGCAAAAGACGCAAATCCCCGTTCCAAACACCCACCCGGGGCCAACCGCATCTAAGTATAACCTACTGCCCCAACGCCAAACGCCTCCACATGGCGTGGAAGCGCCGAACATGCATTATCTCACGCCAAACGAGTTTGGGGCCCAGCGGTCACAAAGCTTGTTTGGGCAAGTCGACACGTTGGTTGCTTGCGACGGTGCTGAAACACGATCCTTGACTCGACCCCTGGCAACGCATAAACATGTGCACGCTGCACACGTAAGAAGGACGAGGCGGGCAGAAGAACGGCCTTGTTCGAGTGTGAGGGAGAAAAGGAGAGCATGAAGATGGTGATGTAATAGAAGGAATCGGACAGTAGACACTTTTTGGCTATGCTGATTTCGATATTTCGCGCTATGGATTGGGGTATGACTATGCTAAAACAAACAAGAAAGGCAATGACGCTCTATTACAACTGACGTAAAACAGGTGTAACGATGCAAAGCGCAACGTACACAGACAGGATGATGGGGAGTGATCGGACGAAAGTGGTTGTGGTGCCTCTTCTTCAACGTGATGGTATACGTCTAAATCTACATTGTGCGCAGTCCTTGTGGGACTGACTGACCACGATGGTGACGGTATACACGAATCTAACATCGCGGAATCAGCGCCTGGAATGCAAACTCACAGAGAGGCCATTCGTGCATTATAGCCGCGATTGCAAATATATACATCCTCCGCCGTGCTGTCGTCTCTCAAAATCGCTTCTAACTCAGACAAATTCCGCAGATAGTCGTTGGTATCGTAATGGGCCCTCATGGGCCTATGTACTTTGGTCGGGCTGCGCTTCGCCTAGAAGTTGGCAGCTGCGTTGGGGCGTCCTCCTGGGTTGTGGTACTGCTCCAGGTTCGACTGGAAGGGCGATGAACCGGTGCCGTTCTGAGGCTTGTCGCCGAGGGCTGAGCCAGTGCCGGCCATGAGGTCGTCGTCGTCTTCGTGGACACGTGCTTGGCGCTTCTTCATGCGCCAGAAGACGAGGGCGATGCCACCGAGGAGTAGGGCTCCACCAACGCCACCAACTACACCTCCGATAACTTTCTTGTTGGAGTCACTAATGCCACCGCCGTTGTCGCTGTCACCTGCTTGTGCGGTGGGCGGGTCGGTGACGACGGCTTCACCGGTGGAGGAGACGGAAGTGCTGGTGCCTGTCGAAGTCGCTTTGGTTACTCTGCCATCGCTCAGGGTTGTGTCGAGAGTCGTGGTATACTCGAACACCGAGGTGGCGAAGAGAGCGGAAGTCCTGACAATCGCGGTCGTTCTTACGGAAGAGCTGCCATCTTCGGTGGCCGTTGGTGAGTTAGCGGCGCCGCCACCACCTCCACCAGTGCGACTCGTGCCCGCCGCGGTTGTTGAAGCGTCGTTGTTGTTGTTGCTGTTGTTATTATTGTTATTGTTGCCGCCATCAGAAGTGGGTGCGGCAGCGGTAGTCGAAGGTGCGGGAGCGTCGGATGTGGGATTGTCCGACGGCGGTGGGTTGTTGGTGGTTGAGGGTTCTGGGTCGGGAGTCGCGGATGTTGCTGGAGGTGCGGCCGACGATGTGGCAGGTGGTGCGGCGGAGGACGCTGGTGGTGCTGCTGAGGATGGCGCGGGCGTGGCGGATGGTGATGAGCCGCCAGTGCCTTCGGCGTCTTGCCTCTTGCCCTGATGGAGGTACTGGTTGATACCGTCCATGTGTAGATCCTCGAGGGTAAAGGCCGACGATGCGACAGTCAAGACAAAAACGGAGAGCCAGGCCTTGGGCAACATGGTGGGCGGTTGTTGTTGGTAGCAGGAGGACTGGTAGCGTTTTTACGATGGAGCTGACTGACGCGCGTTTCACGAACAGCCAAGGTTATATTAAGGGCGATAGAGGTGAATCTCGTCGCCTATGAGCTATGTGGATGGATCAAACGAGTGAACGGGTAGAGGCAAGAGAATAGTGTAGCGAATGTTAGCCGGAAGCCAGTGAAGGTGCCGAGTTGAATGACAGGTGATCAAGAGGAGAAAGCCCAGGAGAGTTTAGGGTCGGCTTCACTCTTCCAAGGCTGCGACACATGGTCACGTGATACCTAATTTTACACATCAGCCGCCAGGGCAGTCCAGACCCATCCACAGGGGCTCACCAGCACTGGCCATACAAAACGGTGGTCAGTCACAGTCATTGAGTCAATCTTGCTTCGAAGGTTTTGCATAACCAACCAACAGCATTCGTTCTATTGTGGTGTGTCGCGTGGCTGTACCTAGGTACGGATAACGAAGGTTTTCTGTCCTCGTTCCGTATCTGGCCATCGTATACTGTACCACGGTACTTCAACGCGCCCCCAAACGCACTGCATCAGTTGTTGAAGTACAGACGTTGTTTATAAAAAGCGCCCGGGACCTTTCACTGCCCTGCATATGCGCCCCAAAGGCTTGACAGCTCGAACAAAAATTCTGTCCCTCAACAGAAACACCAGGGAGATTTGCACACAGATGACCCGAGAGACTAGTAGTCTTTTACTGCCCTACTAGCCCACCTCTGCTTTTTTAGTCCGACATCCCGCTGCATTGCTCGACGCGCATCGTACCTTAGCAAAACCTCCCTTCCCATTCGTCCAACCCGCCAATCTTTACAACTTTTGCTGCTTCTAAATCCGTTTCTGCAGCGGCCCCATTTCGCGGCCCCCTCGGCTGGACAGGCTAGTTACGGCATTCTCTCCGTCTTGGACGTGCGTCATCAAGCCCTGCGATTTCTTTGCATGCCCTTGTACGGAGTACCAGAAGCAAGAAATCATTATTACCTGTAGCCGCGCACGCGCTGTGTGGGCTGCACCCTTACCCGTCCAACCCCCGTTGTCCGTCATCACGCAACGCAACCATGCTCGCAGCTGTCATGTCGCACAGCGTGTCGCTGACAACTCACGAGGCGCTTTCCGGTGTCTTCGGCTCAATCTCGCTGGCTTCGTGGATCTTTCTGTTGGTGAGTAAACAACTTGATACGACGACGTTGTTGTTCTTCATTTCCTATGCTTTCGCGGACGTACAGGGACCTTGACACGTCGTCCTGCAATGTTCATGTATCTCTGATACCACCTGCGCTATTCATAGAACCGCGACTGGAGCTGCAGCACGCGACATCACCTGGGCATACATCACCAAATCGCATCCTAACACACCGCGCAGGTCCCGCAACTAATCGAAAACTACAAATCATCCTCCGCTGATGGCATCTCCCTCGCCTTCCTCGTCGTCTGGTTCGTCGGCGACATAACCAACCTTGCCGGCGCCCTCTGGGCAGGTCTCGTCCCCACCGTCATCGCCCTCGCAATCTACTTCTGCTTCGCCGACCTCGTCCTCATCTCGCAATGCGTATACTACAACATGAAGAACTCGCGCCGCGGCGAGCGCAAGACCTCCGTGCAGTCTACAAACAGCGTTGAGGCGCCCCTGCTGGGCAGACGCGATAGCAGCAACGTCGGTCTTCCGGGAAGCCACAGGCGTGATTCTGCGGCTAGTCGCAGACGGCGCGCGAGTTCGCTGCCTACGATTCCGGATGTGGGCGATGGCGCGAGCGAGTGGGTTAAGAATGCGCTGAGCATCGTGGGTGTCTGTGTTGTTGGTGCCGCGGGCTGGGCTATCGCGTGGAAGACTGGTGTATGGGTTCCGCAGCCTCAGCATAATACGGAGGACACCACGGATAACCCTGTTGGTGCCATGATCTTGGGATATGCAAGCGCGGTGGCTTATCTTGGAGCGCGCATTCCTCAGATCATTAAGAATCAGAGGGAGAAGTCCTGCGAAGGCTTGTCGCTGCTCTTCTTCATGTTGAGTCTTTTGGGCAATGCTACGTATGGCGCAGGAGTAAGTCTAAGATCTTTGTCAACATCCTAAATGGAATCGCGGGTCTAACATCTGCTAGATCATCTTCCACTCCCAGGAGAAGGAGTACATACTCACCAACCTCCCCTGGCTCATCGGCTCCCTCGGCACAATGGTCGAAGACATAACCATCTTCATCCAATTCCGCGTGTTCGGCAACGGCGAGGCATCTTCTGCCCTCGAGGCGTGATGCGCTCAGCTGTGTTTATAAAAATGATCTGTATTGGATACGTCTGGCGTTTTGATATCTACCGCAGAGCGACGGTATGATCTGCTCCAAAAGTTTGTGTGTATGTATTTGTATCACTGGTCTACGATACCCAGTCGAAAAAAAGATGAACCTATGTTTGGGCGCCGGCGGCGAGGTAATGTTGTATTATGAGAATAGATTTGGCATATCAATCTTGAAACTTGACATCAAGCTGCCCTAGTGCGCACCCACCCTGTTCGTGGTCCTCGAAAGCGACTTGTATCTGTGAAGCACCTGGAGATACACGTCGTTTACTTATGATCAGCCTACAACTCATTTGCGTAAGAAGCGCAGTACGATACGACTCAAAGATTCGCAGAAATTATCTACGCAGCCAAATCGCAAGCGCCATGTCCCCATCTGAGTCCAATCGTTCCCTCAGCCCTATCGGCCAAATGTACAGGAACGAGTATTTGCGGGCAGTCAACATCTGGAAGTCTAGCTCTCGCGACGAGGCCTACATCATTGTAGGGATCTTCTTGCTGACCCAGCCGTTGGCAAATGGCACCAAGATGGCTTCCATCTTCTCCTTGGCAACTCAGACGATTGTATGTACACACCTTTACCTTGATTACACTTTGTTCTAACTTGATTCAAGGTTACGTTGAACATGCGCAGCGCGCGCGGGATCTTTACGATGAGATGTCCAAGGAAACTCTTCGAATAGACCCGAATAAGGATGTCGCAGGACTCACTCAATACCTTGAGATGGCCGAAGTAATGCTGGCGCAGCCTCTATTGAAACCCATGGCTCGATAGAAAGAGTTGCATGCATGACAGAAGTATTGATAACCCACCTGTTTGGCGTCTACTTGTTCTACACCGTGAGACATAGCTACTTCTTCTTAACGTCAACATATGCATCGTGCTCTGAGATCATCAATTTCACGCAACATGGTGCATTAGTGTGCTAAAGACCGAACCCTTTGACAGATTTCCCGTGGGGTATATCTCCCCTTAAGCAGTCTATAAGCGCCATAAGAGACCTGAGAATGAGATCCGTAGTTTCTACCGTACCAGCCTTGCCCACTCATACCGAAAGAACAGTCTACTTAGCATGAGCGTACTTCTGCTCGTGAACGCCGATGGCACTATACAGAATTAGCTTTTTGTCTGAATGATAACTCAAAAGGGAAGACTTACCGTCCAGAAGGATCCGTCTGGTTGCTCCAAGTAGGCGTCCATCGCATGACGGTGTCGGCGCAGTAGCTGGGGAAGTGCTCGTCGAACATACACCTGTACCAGTACGCCTCCTTGGTATCCGGGATGTCATTACCCCACTCCGGTTTTGGGTTCTTCATCATCTCATCGGTAACGTGTAGCTCAGCGGTGTCCTTGAGCGCGTCAATCCACCCGTAGCCTACACCGTCAGAGAATTGCTCCTTCTGTCTCCAGAGAATCTTCTCGGGAAGGTAGGGTTGGGTCTCTGGCTCGTCGGTGGTATCGAAAGCCTTGCGCAGAATGTACTTCTCGATGCGGCCGGCTTCACGGTCGATGAGCTTGTCGGCAGGATCGATGTTCATGGCGGTGTTGAGGAAGTCCTTGTCTAGGAAAGGCACACGTGCCTCGACACCCCATGCGGATGTTGACTTGTTGGCGCGGAGGCAGTCGGCAAGGTGGAGGTTCTTAACACGGCGAATGCATTCTTGGTGGAAAGCGGCCTTGTCAGGCGCGTTGTGGAAGTAGAGGTATCCGCCGAAGATCTCGTCACTTCCTTCTCCTGAAAGCACCATCTTGACTCCCATAGCCTTGATCTTTCTGCTCAACAAGAACATGGGTGTTGAGGCGCGGATGGTCGTTACGTCGAAGGTCTCGAGGTGGAAGATGACATCTGTGAGTGCGTTGAGGCCGTCCTCAATGGTGAAGGTAAAGGTGTGGTGCTTGGTTCCGAGGAAGTTGGCTACCTCCTGCGCAGCGATGGCATCGGGTGCGTTGGGCAGACCAATTGAGAAGGAGTTGAGCTGTCCCAGAAGGAGATCTGTCTGAAGCTCGTTGGAGTCGTCGATACCAACAAGTTGGTTCTGCTGCTCGCTGGCGTTGCCCGAAGACGCTGCAGCCTTCTTCCTTGTGAGCTCGTTCAAGCGCAAAGTTTCCCGCTGCGCAATTGAAGCGACCAGACTCGAGTCAAGACCACCAGAGAGAAGTACACCAAAAGGAACCTCCGCCATCATGCGTTTCCGCACTGATCGCTCAAACGATGCCCTCAATTCCTTGTAGTTTACGGGTTGTGTAGGGATGTTCTCGGGCTCGACCAGCCACTTGGGGTCGTAGTATCGCGTGAGCGAATCCGTCTTCGAGTCGTAGACGTGCCCGGGGGGGAAGGAGATGATGTTGTCGCAGACGGGATGTAAGCACTTCAGCTCAGAGGCGAAGAATACCGCGCCTGGTGCTGTGCTGGATCGGCCCATGTAGAAGGTGGTGATACCGATCGGGTCGCGTGCTGCGATGACACGATCTTGAGCCTTATCGTGAAGGACCCAAGAGAACATGCCGTCGAGTTTCCGGGGAGCATCGATGTCATGTTCGAGATACTGCCATGCGTCAGCCTCTATCCCATACAAGAAGTGTGCCCAATGTTACCAGAGGAATGATAACCTCGCAATCTGAGTGTGTCTTGAAGTTGTACGGGTTCTTGAGGGACTTGCGGAGGATTCGGTGGTTGTAGATCTCGCCGTTGACGGCCAGGGATACGGTTCCCTCATCGTTGACGAGCGGCTGAGCGCCAGACTCTGACACACGTAAGCTTCCGCCAAAAGTAATATATGGCTTGTGATTTCTTACCGACACCGACAATACTCAAGCGCTCGTGAACCAGGACTGTCTGTCTTTAGTACTGTGTGAGACTGAGTGCTCTCAGAGTTACTCACTGGTGTTGTTCGCAACATGGTTACCAGCTGGACAGTGTCAATTATCGTAACTGTTGGCGCATAAAGCGTCATAAAATATGCTTACACCAATCTGGACCTCTATGGCTGATCTATTAGTCAGTATGGAGGTTCTCGTGGTGTAGTCGCTGAATGGAGGGGTTTCGAGGAATCACGCACCGAACGGCCTTTCCCATCTACAATTCGTTAGTGTATGCTCATACGCAGTGGATACAGTCGAAACTTACCTTCAGGGCTGTTGGTTTAAAGGTCTGCACATCGGGGTGCCTTTTTGGAGGGTCAGTATTTAATCAACATAATCGCAACACGTCTGAACGAGAGCCAATTCGACATTATCGAGCGCGCAAGAGGTGTGACTTACTTATGGCACGCGAATATGCCACACATCTTGTCTGCTGGAGGTGATTTGGGGTGAGATTATAGGGCTTTGTCGGAGTCAAAGAGAAGGCGCGTGTTTTATCTTGTCTTGGCCTTGAAATTTACCAGTCATCACTCGCAGCTATCGCTCGCCCGCGGCGACTTCGGGCATGCTCCGACCCGCTTTTGACTGTGCGTTCTGACCACGGGATTGGCACTATCTACCGTCTCGCAACTGCAGGCATGTGACGTTGGGAACCGTCACTCCACAAGTTTGCTCGCACTTTGTGCTGCTCAAATCCCAACCCCACAACTGCGATGACGGAGATGTCGCATCTTGCTATTGGCTCGTGCGCTTGCGAACATCGCCGCGACTAGACACCCACCTCTCACGCGACACGGTCAAGGCACAAGCTAATATAGATATACGTAGACATTATTTTTGCTAAACAATTTCGCAACTTTGCAACTCCGAATTATGTAGCTGTTGATACATGGACGCTTGCACACAAATGTGGTCATGCCTCCCTAGCAGCTGCCACTTCGTATGTGTAACCAACAAACAGCTCCAGTTCCATCCAAGTAAGAAATACCCACATGAAAGAGAAAAGCACCTGTCCAACCTGTCGTCTAGCGCCATACCACCGCCCTGTCTCCTCATCTCCGTGTGTTGAAAGATGTCGCCCAACTTCGCGCCGTCTCCGCACAATGTAGATCCGGGGTCGCGGTTGGCGCACGGTGCTTCACTGGCCTTCCGGTGCCAGGTATGGTGGGAGGACGCTCAGAAGAGGAAATAAGCAATCAGGAAGCTGATGAGGCATAGAAGGGCGGTGATCTGGACAGATACGCCGCCTGCGGGAGCTTGCCGTGTGTCCATGGAGGTCGAAACTCCCTGCTTCGAGTCCTGGGCGGATCCTGTCTTTCGCTGGCGAAGACCAGTGGCCTCGCTGACCTGCTGTGTCAATCGCGCAATCTGGGCCTTGGCTTCAGCAAGCTGGGCCTCGACGTCGCTTGAAGATGGCATGGCACTAGCGACAGTTCCAGCAGCAGAGCTGAAGCTCGACCCCATATTACCACTTGATGCGGGGTTGTAGGTCTCATTCCTGATCTCGCCCAAGTCTTTGCTTCCCGATGGGCGCTCCGAGGGAACGGAGACAGGCCCAGAAGCGTCCGATACGCCGCGCTGAGGAGTCACGGCCTCGGGGGATGGAGAGGAAAGCATCGAATCGCGGCTAACACCGTTGGTTCTCGCAGGAGTTGCGCTGGAGGCATCGTCGGGTGCGAGGAAGAGGACTCTGATCTTCTTCTCTTGGATGGAAGACTTGGCGGTCTGCTCGATGTGCGACCACTACAAGTAACTATTAGCACGCATTCGGATGTATTCGCCAATGCCATGACGTACCAAAGACCCGACGTTGGTGAACTCCTTGTCAGCGGTGACGAGGACAGATTGCACGAGGAACTTGTCGCGGCACTTCGCATCTGGCGGTGGGTCTTCCTTCATGGCTTGGAGGAGAACTGGGCGCATACGTTAGTTTGCTGCAGACTTCCGTGAGGCGCATAGAGGGCATGCATACTCTGAACTTCGACATCTTTCCCAGGCTCGATGCGTCCGCTGTTCGGCCTCACACAGTATCTAAACCCGTCATCAGTGGTTGTGGGGAGAGGTATCGCGGGCGTCGTACTGCTTGGGAGCCGTTGTTTTCACCTTGATCGTGTCAGCTGCATGTCCAAATTCCACGGGACCTCACAGGACTCCCAGAGAAGCGTGCTTACCTTGAAAGCAATGGGGTCAGAGTGCGGGTTCTTCAAGCGGAGGGTCTGCGACACCTCGTGCTGGAAGGGTCCTAGCCATCTCAGTATGTTTGCGGGCTCAATGCCGTGAACGAAGCTTACGCTTGAAACCAAGCTCTACGGGGTCGAGCTCGACGGACATGGCGGGCGCGTGTGGGTTGCGGGTATGGGGTGGTGGTCGTGTCTTCCAGGGTTGGTAATCGGATCCGCGGTTACGGGGTACCTAGGCAGGGTCGCGACGAACCTCGGGAACCAGGGGAAGAGAGACGGGCGCGTATAATGTATTGAGAAGCTGAGTAATCCGGAGATGGGGTGCGCAAACGGTGTGGGTATCGCAGCGGGTGTGGATTGGGGTGGGTGCGGATAGTAGGGAGAGGAAGGCAGATGCTAAGGACAAGTTGCTATGACGTGCAGCGACGCCTCTTGATTCTCGATCGCGAGCTGCCTCTAGTGCCCACCCACGTAGACACTCCAAGGCGACGACAACCATCACTCCTCTCGCTGAAATAGGCTGCAGTGACAGACGTATTCCACAAACATATTCATAGTGAAGATCACTGTACCAAGACAACCATCCGAGGATCTCACGCGCCTCATCCACGGTCCACCTTCTCTGTGGTTCCACCGCTACCGCCTTACACCCACATCCCACGTATAAAGCTAGACTCCTCCACTACACTCACTTATCACTTTGATCCACTACTAAACTACAACCTGCGCGATCCAAACGCCCAGATCCATCACCAAATAACCCACAACTTCCCACATACACAACCGTCACCACCGCCACATTCACCATGGCCGGAGATCTAGATACCCTCATCGACATGGGCTTCCCCCGCGAACGCGCAGAGCTCGCCGTCAAAGCCACCGGCGGCCTCCAGTCTGCCATCGATTGGCTCGAGACCAACCAGGACAAGTCTGTCGACGAGATCAAGCAAGAGCAAGCCACCGCCGCCGCCAACGCCTCAGACGAGCCACCTGCCCTCCAGCCCGGCGAAGAGGCCAAGTCACTCGTCTGCGATGAGTGCGGCAAGAGATTCCGCTCCGTCAACCAAGCCCAGTTCCACGGCGAGAAGACCGGCCACGAACAGTTCTCAGAGTCCACCGAGGAGATCGCGCCCCTCACAGAGGAACAGAAGGCACAGCGTCTCCAAGAACTACGCGAGAAGCTCGCCGCCAAGCGCGCAACGCAGTCCGAACAAGATAAAGAAGACCACAAGAGGAACGAGCAGATCCGCATGAAGGCAACAAAGGAGTCGCAAGATCTCCGCGAAGAGCTACAAAAGAAGGAGCGCTTAAAGGAAGCCGCCGCCAAGCGCGCTGAGAAGAAGGCAGACGAAGACGCAAGGAAACGCGTCCTAGCCAAGCTCGAAGCCGACAAGCAGGAGCGCAAGCGTAAAGCTGAGATCGAGAAGGCGAAGCGCGCCGGTCAGGCTCCTCCTCCGGCCCCTGTACAGGCGCCCCTCGCTACGTCCTCCGGTCCTACTACCAGCAAGCCTGCGAGCGCTTACACCGAGGCGCGTCTGGCGCTGCAGACACCCAGTGGAAGAGTCATGAAGAACTTCCCAGTTGAGACTACGCTGTTCGAGGTTGCGCATGCGTTGGAGCAGGATGGCATGACTGTGTCGACTTTCACGACCAACTTCCCCAAGAAGATATACGATCGGAGTGACTTTGGCATGACGCTCAAGGAGGCGGGTATGGTGCCCAGCGCGGCTTTGATTGTCGGATAGAAGACGAGGCTTCGAAGACGTATTGTGTAGATGCTTCTGAGGATGCATAGGGCGGCGTTGAGGTGGTGCACGTGGTAGATACCCACAGAGGGATGCATATGGTAGCGTTGATGTATGTCGGCGGCAGTAAGCCAGACCGTAGACGAAGTCACGATGAATGAACCATGAGATATACGAACTACAGATGCAAATATATTGATATGTTCCAACGCCTACTAATGCTCGTCCAAACCCCATACTCGTTACCCGTGTATACAACAGCTCAATCATATTCATCAATATCATACCTCCCCGCCTCCCTCTGCGTACTACACCACTCCTCACTCGCCAACCCACCCTCCTTCCTCCTCACCAACGCCTCCGCATCCTTACACCAATCACACGCAAAGTCACACTCTGGCGTTTCCTCATCCGCAAAATATTTAGCAATGAGCCTATGCCGACATTTACTCGTGGTCTCACAGTAACCCACTAGTGCCTCTAAACTCTTCGCTCGATGCGTCATCTGCTGCTGTTGAGCCTGTAATCCCGCTCCTGCTTTAGGCTGACGAGCAATATCCCTCGACAGTGAATGCGCAGCTCGATCGCGGTCTTCGCGGCCGTAGTATAAGATGCAAATCGATGCTTTGCCGTCTCGACCTGCGCGGCCGGCTTCTTGGTAGAACCCTTCGAAGGATTTGGGGATCTGCCAATGTACTACAAAACGTACGTTTTCTTTGTCGATGCCCATGCCGAAGGCTGTTGTTGCGACAACGACGTCGTACCCGGCTTTGTTGGCTACCCAGCCTGATAGCGCGTCTGCACGGTCTGAGACGGAGAGGCCTGCGTGGTAGGGTTTTGCACCTATGCCGTCTGAGCGGAGGCGTGCGGCGAGGGACTCACAGTCTTTGCGGAACAGCGTGTAGATGATACCTGGGACGTTGTCTGAGCGCTGGTTCTGGGATGCTAGTTGAGAGGCGCGCTCGGGATTTGCGGCACGGCGGGCGTGGATGGATTTGAGAAACTTGATGAAGTCGTCGTAGTGGTCTTCTGCGTCCGATTTAAAACGCACTTCGTAGTGGAGGTTGGGTCTGCTGGTGCTCATGCGGAACATCTTCAGCTTCTTCGGGTCCAAGGCGAGCGTGGTGATGATGTCGTCTCTTACACGCGCTGTTGCAGTGGCTGTCAGACATATGACCGGTACGTCAGGAAACTCCTTCTTGAAGAATGACAGTTGCTGGAATGAAGGGCGGAAGTCGTGTCCCCATTCGCTGACACAATGGGCTTCATCGACAGCGATGCGAGCCAGTTCTCCTTGAGAGTGGATGACTCGAAGGATCTTGCGAAAGTTGTCGCCCTGACAGAACTCTGGTGTTACGTAAAGCAGGCGAGTTAGGGGATGACCGCATTGAAGGTCAGCTATGATCCTCTTTTTGTCTACCTGTGGCGTAGTACTGTTGATCGTCTCGACTCTGATGTTGGCATTGCGCAGAGAGGCAACTTGGTTGTTCTGGTGACTAATGAGCACTGATTCTGGAGAGATAGCGTGAAGACGTACCATCAGTGCCAGCAAGGGAGATATCACAATAGTGACTAGCAAGATTAGCGGCGATGGCGGCTCTATGTTGACTTGAACATACTGCCGAAATCGACCACCGCGGGAAGCTGATAGCACAGACTCTTTCCAAAAGAGGTTGCTGCCTGTAGGAAGACATCTTCACCCTCCAACGTAGCTGTGACGACCTCTCGTTGTAGTGGCCTGTGAAGGACATCAGTAGATGCAAAACATAACGAGGAGAATGGCATACCGGAAGCTTGCTTTCTTGAACACCTTCCTCAGCGTAAAATCGAGATTCGAGTACGGTCGTTTCCTTTTGGCAGGCATGACTCGCGATGTGAAGAACGGTGAAATAAACGGATGGAAGGGTCGAAGGATTAGATCCAGACTTTTCACCGCCCGTGTGGTTGTAGCAGTGGCTTTACGGGAAGGCGAAGGCCCATGTTGGTTCGGCCAGATCAGAGTATAAGAAACCTAAGAAGTCGTGCTAAGTCTACGGGCTGCAAGAGCGACGCGAGGTCGCGCACGTGGTCAATCGCGCTAGCACGTGAGGCCCCACCTGGGCACAGAAAGATTCCATTGACTCCAGCGACTACCTCCTCCACCATTTTTCATCTGTAGAACCTCTTGCTGCGAATGCCAAGGTAGCCGTTTCGCGAAATGGACAAGATGTCTGTATAACCCGGCCACCACTGGCGCGTCGCAAACCCTCCTCCCCACATCCCAATGCTCTCACCGGCAGCATCATGTCTGAGCCAAACTCACAAGCGCAACTTCCACCTGGTTTCGTAATCAAAGACTACTCAACCTTCCCACCAAAGACGCGCCTCTCCATCGCCGACAAAGTAGCCAAGCTCGAAAGAAAAGTCTTCCCAGCAATCGAGCATTTCAACTACGATGTAGAACTCAAGAAAAAGAACACGGGACTACTCCTGGTTTTCAAAGAAGACGATGCAGACAAGCTGATCGGATACCTCGTCTACCAGCGAATGAAGAGATTGGCTTGGCTACATAAACTCTGTGTCATCGAGCAAGAAAGAGGGAGAGGGCTTGGTAGAGCTCTGATACATTGCTTTCGTCATCAAATGGAGAAAGGGGGCTGTAGTACAATCTTTCTATTGGTAGACGAGAGCCGTTCTCCTGCTAGAGCACTGTATGCGTCGTGTGGCTTTCAGCAGGCGGAATGCCGTCCTGATTACTATGGACCTGGACGAACGGCCTTGAAGCTTGAGTTGTCACTCGACGACTGAACACAATCAAAAAACCTGGAAGTGGAGTTGAAGAGGCTTTCCGTAGTTCAGTTCCAGCGAAGGTGAATACTGGTATCAGGGTGGGATGTGTAACTGGATATTCATTCGAGAGTAGGACATCACGGTCCTTTCATCTATTTCGTCATGTATCATCCAAAACTCCACAAAAAGCTATGTAGCAACGTTATCTATCCCAGACTGTTGAAGCCCCTACACCATACGCCATACCATGCAATAATCGTTCTGTCGCCGGCTCCTACAACTGAATATCGTTGTTCAGCAACCGTACTTCCTCACCGGGCTTGAACGCCGGCAGGCCAATGTACGGGCATCCGTCACATCTGAACGCATCGCCCAGTGCGCAGTTTCCGCAGCTGCCGACCTTTCCTTGTACTGTAAAGTCTACCTCGTCGAGGTCGTCGGCATCCAACTTGAGCGAGTTCAATGCTTTATCGGCGGAGGTGCGTTTGGCGGCGTCTTCGGCTTCGAGTTTCTCCTTCATACCGCAGGTGCAGTCTTTACATGCGCGTCGTCGCTTGCCGGGCTTGGGTTGGCATTCGAGTGCTGAATCATGTTAGCATAGTCATTCGTGGTAACAAGAAGAGTAGACGTACGTTGA